GCGGATTTTGCTATGTAAAATTCCGTCCCAAGCTGATATGGGCTTAATACGCAGCTGGACCTATTAACCGTGGGCTTAATAACCGGCGACTACTGTATAAGGGTAATCATCGGATCAGATGACGAGCGAGTAAGTCAAGACGATAAACCGTAACTACAAGAATGTGTGGTTCAGAAGTTGGACAAAAGTCATTCCCGATTACTTAAGGTTTTTGTGTGGAGAGTACAATGGGCTGAGGGCATGTAACCCAGTAAAACGGCAAGAAAAAGGGAATCGGGTAGCATGCAAGTCTGTGCCGTTTACGAGAGGTTTCCGTATGGGGAGTACAACGGTAAAAGGGTAAGAAAAAATAAACCAGCTATCAGCAATGGGATGCATTCCAATGAATCTAAATACGGCGAAAAGCGATTGATATAAAATAAATAGGCATAACTGCTCCTGCTAAAATACATGTAGTAGTTATGAAAGTATATTTTAAAAACGTCCACCACGAACACTATTCGTACCGAATTAAGATAGGCAAAAAAATGAGGCAAAACCATTTTTAACATTAGTTACCAACCTGAATAACACATTTCATTCAAGTTACACAAACGAAAAAATCTAATTCCGCTTAATTATACGGTACAGCCGTACGCATAGGTTGGATTATATTCCAATAAATCTCAGTATACCAAAAATAATAGAAAAAGCAAAAGTATACGGTCCAGGGAGGCTTACTAAGACTTCGGTACGGTTAAATTTTCTGGGGGAACTTGCTCCACCTTAAGTACGTGCGAAGTCGGGACTCCTGCCATCGAGAGATTGAGCGTCTTTGGGTTTGGCACATTTTGAGGTTTGACATCCTCTGTATCTTCAGAACTTGACAAAGTCTGTTCAGGGTTAACGTCTACAGAAGCTTTCTTCTTTCGGTTTTTCCTTTTTCGTCTTTTTTTCAAATTTGACTGGTCTGTCGTGGAGGTTTTAACAGCTGTTTTGGCAAAATCCGGCAATTCTTCAATTAGACCTTTGTCCCCAGAATTGGAGTCTTCAGTAGACTGCGCAGACTGACAAAGTTGAAAGTCCGGGGTCAGGGTGCCATTATTCCCGAGTACTTCAGTTTCACTCTTAGAAGTCTCCAATGGGAGAACTGGTAGGGTAAGGAGAAGCCGATTTCCAGCCTTGTTGAATTTTGCACTTCCTTTTTCGTGATCAACCTCAAAGGGCAGATCTAAATCTAGTTGGTAAGCGACCGGCTTCTCGCTCTGAAAAAATAGAAAAGGAGTCGGGATTAAAAGTCTAAAATATGTTTAAGGACACCTAGGGCAAGGGGAGGATATGGAAACCCTTTGCGCAAATAGTAAAAAGGTGGACGTGTGCTAGGAAAATGGTTGTAATGGGGTTTTTATGGGTGAACAGAAAACCCCAAATTATTAGGTATGCTAACAGGAAAGCATTAAAGAAGTTACGTTTCCGCAGAGGATTGTTTTTCTACGCTCACCGAATGTATGGAGAGTGAACGCGTACATTTAAAAGAGCTACAGGCAATGGATCACGTGGAGTAGAATCAATAGCCACTAAGGGATTTTTGTGAGGTCAGGTGCCATGGGTACACGCAGCCAATTGGATTCGATAACAAGCCCTGACAGATGACGGATAACCGTGACAGCTCGATCGTCGATTCCGACGATGAATAGCTAAATAGATGACGACGGACAAGTTGTTTCAAGAGAAAGTGGACAAATGCAAAGGTGTGAGCAGGAGAGTGGTGGGTTAGGGCTTAATAAACCTTCAGTTTTGGCGTAAGAACTGAGAAAAGTAATATATCCGAAATTAGGCAATTGGCAAAGTATTAAAATATTCAATGAACAATTGAGACGCACATGGCAACAATGTAATGAAAAAGCCCTTTTCACTTCAAAGGAGGAAGATATGTTTCGGGTCCCGGCTTATAAATACCCAAATAAAACAGAAGAAGCTAAAATTTGGTGGAAGGCTGAGACGGAGAATTCTTGGAAAGTACTAAATAACAGAAGAAGCTCAGGAAGCTCACGTATTACAAACAAACGTCACGACCCATACCAGATCTAGTTTGTCTGAAAGAGGGTCACTGGTTCTATAAATTGGGCAGCAGTTTTAGCCGATGCTACTTGTGGATGCGTTGGGCATTCCGAGAATTGCACCAGCTATTTTACCTTAACCCAACTGAAACGGCCTTAAAAATTATCCACCAAAACAGATCCTGACCTCTTCTGGTACGGTGTATGTTGAAAGCTGAGCAGATTCTGTACGAAGAAAATGTGGGCACATGTTGGCAGGTAACTTTGACGGTTGGTAGTTATGTCGCTTTTTAGTGTGGAGTCTTTTTACAAAATAGGGTTACATAAAAAATAATTATCAGAGAAAGCGAGTAATTAAGGCCTACAGGAAAGTATGGGTGTTAGATTACGCCACTCAATCCTACCTGGAGATGCAGTTTTTTCGAAGTAACATCCAGATCGACACAGGCAGCCGATTCAATGCCGGTGAGTGTTATTTCAATCTTTAGATAGTTTGGACGCGAAGGCGGCACAGCGTCAACCGAATTACGATAGTGGAGCATATCGAAGTCGGTGCTGTGTGTAATCTTATAGGCTGGGACTTTGTACTTGCTTTGCGCTGAAAAGAGAAAACCGTAATTTGTAACAATCTGTTTAAGTTCTTGAAGATTATCTGAAAAAAATCACAGCCCTCCGTAACACCGGAGGGTTACTCACACATTGTCAAACAATTAACAATAGTATATTGTCTTAAACAGTGTGGTTCGTGTGGGATCTCCAGTTAGGGGTCTAACGTATAGATTATGGCAGATCGCATGATCTAGCGTCCCAAGCAGGTACTCAGCTCTAATTTATAGCTCCATGGAGCTAGGCTCTACCTAGCAGAAACCCCCTGGTAACCGCCTCGGCCGGCGGGTGAAGCCAATTGAGAGTCTCTGGTGTGTGTCCTTTCCTACACCTGGTATGCTCTGGGTAGCAGCAGTAGTAGGCGGATGGGCCGTAGCATTCGTTTATCGTTTCACTAGTCACCGTAGTAATATGAGAACTAGTAGTAGCGGTGCAAGTAGTAGCTATTAAATAAGCAAGCCCTGGGTCTGGGAATAAGCAGTCGCGGACAGGCAGCGACAGTGCTACCAGGGTGCAGAAGGCTGAGGTCTGGTGCACCGACTGCCTTATAAGAAGTCGCGAATCCCGATGAAGCCACTGTTACATGGAGACCGTGAACAAACATTGAATGGGTTTGTTTGTCACCGCTGCTTTATGGTTAGGTACTTCAGCCAAAGTGCTAGAGGAGACAACTACGAACAAACAATCCGAGCCGCTGCTGGGGATCCGCCTGCATTCAAAATCCCCAAAGCTGAAAGGGTTTAACCCAACGCGGAGGTTTGAGGCCCGAAACTGAAGAGCCCTCTTAAGTGAGCAACCAATGGGTGTAAACAAGGAAATATTGGTACTTTCAACTTTTCAGTAGCCCGACTTTCCACCGATTTTCCCTTCTTTGTCGCGCGACAAAAGACAAAATCGGTGGAAAGTTGGCTACTAAAAATGTGGAAGTCATTTTTTTATTATAAGTAACAGACAAAAGCGGCCTCACAGGAATGCCCTATCGTCTTAGTACTAGTATCATTAGTAGTTGTGTTACTAGCAATGTATTATTACTGTATTTTTTACTGTGTTTGTATTATTATTGTATTATCTAGTGCTATTAGTATTGGTACTGTTATTACTATCTAATTTATTTTATTATTAGTATTATATAATTTATTTATGGTGACAATTTTATTAGTAGTATTATTAGTTTTACTAGCATTAGTCTTATAAGTGTTGTTAGCGATAGTAAGTTGCAGCATTAGTATTAGTAGCTGACGTAGCTGACTTTACTTAGGTATGCCTGTAAGCATGTAATTAAATGTTTAGGTACAGTAAGCTAATTCTATAAGTCCGCTCCTCGGCCTCTCGCCTATGTAGGGGATTAGTCACAAACGTTAACGCTGACTTAAGCCAGCGCTGCACAACAACCTAAGATAGTAGGTGGGCGGTAAACAGAGGGGAAGGGGGGAATCCAGGCAAGACCAGCTGTGCCCGGCAGATTAGGCAAAGCTTTAGAGTTGCCTCAATCCAGCGTGCTACACTCCAAAGTGAGTTGGGCTGGCGACCGTAGATAGAAGGACGCGTCGATACCCCTAATACAGCCTTAACGGTGACTTAAGCCAGCACTGTAAGTGCATTAGACAGCATAGTCACTCCAATTTCGACGTTT